TTGATGTTTCTCAGGCATGCCATTCTGCCATGGCTCCCCACTCTGCTTGGAAGACTCTTTAGAGAGCTGTAGGGCCTACTCCCTCACTTTTTGGAGGATTTCACATCATTGTCAGGTTCACGTTGGGCCTTTTCTGAATACCTTGTGTGAAGTAGCCACCTCTGACCCTTGTATTATGTCTGATCACCTCTGCCTGCTTTAATTTTTTCCATTGCACTTTTCACTATCTGACTTAATATATATTAACTGATTATTATTTTATTATCTACCTCCCCTCACTGCAGCATATGCTCCATGAAAACAGGGGCTGTATCCCCAGTACCTGCACATAGGCCTTAACAAATACTCATTGAATGAAGATTGGATGGGTGAAAAGAATAATGATTGGGGAAATGAATGAAAAGCTCAAAGTTTCAGACCTCAAAGAATGTATAATTTGGTGCATTGGAGACATAAATAAGATAACTCTAGCTTGTGGTCTAGTGGTGACTCAGAGACAGTTCATGTCTCTGCTCCACTTAGTGGCTGTGTCTTCAAGGGCCAATTACCTCAGCTCTCTAGGTTCTCTCTTTCAGCTCTCTCATTTTCTTGTTTGTGAAATATGAATAATAATAATAATAATACCATAGAGGATTCTTGTGGGAATTAAATGAAACAACCTATAGAGAGTGCTGAGCACAGGACCTGGCATGTGGTAAGCAGCCAGTAATTATTATCTGCCATTCTTATTGGGTCACTTGCTGGAATCCATTGGAGCCTGAAAAGATCTTCAGGATTATCCCCATCCTGGTCTGGTATTACTGAGACTTTTCTGTTACAGAGCAAAAATTAGAAAGTGCCCCCTACCAGAAGGACTGTCTGTCCCTGAAGACAACTCTCTCTTAGGATTTTTTTGAGCCACAAATGCTTTTGTCCTCTCTTCAAACGTATATTAAACATTTCATTTGTTCAGATAGGCTCAAAACAATAATATCTATCCCCTCTGGAAATAACTCTTTCCTGTTTAAATATCAGCAACCAGTTAAACATTATGTTTGGTTTTTTCTTTTCTAGTAGTTTTTAAGCCTCAGTAAATAATTGCTTAAGACTGTACTTTAAGAGGCACATGTAAATCTTTCTTTCGCCTTGTGATACAGGGAAAAGCATGTCAAAAGTCATTCTAACAATTTGTATTTTAATTTAAGTTTTATGAGTTACCATTTAGAGAGGGCCAGTTTCTCATTGGCAAGCCTTCTTAAGAGGTTGAAGCTTTGATCTTAAATCCGAGGGAGGCTTTGCCGAAATTGGAGGTGACATTGTTGACAGGTTTGTCTGTAGCTATTCTACTGCCATTAATTAAACACAAACACGCCCCTTTTATTTACTCCCCTGGAGTAAATGAATTGAACTTGACTTTGGTTTTTGATTGGAGGCTATGAGAGAGGGTCCAGGAAACATCAAAGAAACTCTTAATCTAGTAAAACTAACTCTCAAATGACCTAGCTTGAACATTAAAGAGTCCTTGATTCCTGTGCTGGTCTAGTTTCTTTTCTGTAAGGCGTTAATTCCCTTTAATGATAAGAAAAGTGCAGGGACAAATAATCATCCCCTCCCCGTAAAATTCCAGAGGGTTATAGGCTCTTTAATTTTATCTCCCTTCTGAAAGTCTCCTTTGTAAAACTGTATATGCGTTTTTTCTTTTGTCCTTTCATACTGCTTATGCCTTTAAGATCTCAGCTTTAATATCTTAGAACTTTATTTCTTTTGTATTTCAATTTTAGATTTTTTTTTTATTACAATCCTAGATCTATAGGAATGAAGGCACAGACAGGTTAAAACACTTTTATAAGCAAAAAGCCAGATGGTGCCTTTGCAGCAACAAAATAGTTGAGTAGCCTTGTAGTTGAGAAGTCTGTTTTCATGTCTGCTTGGGAAGCCCCACCAAACGATTCATTTGCACCCAGACAAGTAGCCATCAGCATGCCTACTGGGAGCCCAGCACCATTTGAAGCACAAAAGAGTAGTGAGCAAAAGAGACAGCAATCCTATTCTCATGGAGTTTATATTCCAGTGGACAGTTAACACAAGAACTAAATTATACAGTCTCCACAGAAGACTGTGGAAGAAAATACACACAGCATTATGGGGTGGCCAGGGGAGGCCTCACTGATAAAGTGACGTCTGAGCAGAGACCAGCAGGAGCTGAGGAGGGGTGCTCTTGGCGTGGGAGAGGGAGGAAGAGGCCACAGTGAGCACAGAGATTTGGAAGTAAGAGTATGCCGTGTGTGAATGGGGCAGCAGGGAGGTCAGTGCGGCCGAGGGAAAGTGAGTGGGTGTAGGAGAAAAGGTCAGAGGTGTCAGAGCAAGTCCTTGTGAGACAGGTATGACCTTGGCCTTTCCTCGGAGTGAGACAGGAGCCATGGGAGGGTTCTGAACCAAGCAGTGCTGTGACATGGTTTCCATTGAATGGGTTTGTTGTGGCAGCTGGACTGGAGCCAGGAGACTGGTTAGGTGGCTGTGGCCTTGATCTAGACCAAAGGTGGTAGTAGTTTGAGCCAGGGTGGAAGTGATGAGGAGTGTTTAGATTCAGGGTACATTATAAAGGCAGAGCCCAGAGGATTTCCTGCTGGACTGGATGGAGAACAGCCTGGGCACCTGGACCATGCATGCTTCACACGTGCTTTGCCTTCTTACTGATGGTCCTCATTGGTCTCCAAAGTGCCATCAACCAATCCTTCTGGTCATGATCGTGAATCGGTAGACGCTCTGATGGCTGAGAGCAATATATCCGTGGGGTCTTCCTGAGCACACATTCTGAACAGATGGTACCTGGTTAATTAATGAGAGCGAACATCACCCACCGGTGTGAGTTGCTTAGTCCTTCTTGACACCATCTGACTGGACCTGTGGCCTCACATTCTCAGAGGGGACCTGTATAGGTGCTTATGTCATCCCAACTGGCAGCTCAGCCCCAAGTCTGTAAAATGTCAGGAAAGAACACCGAAGTATGAGAAGCTACAGTGAAGACCAGGAAGAGGAAGATCAGGAAATTTGTAGTACAAACAGCAAATATCAGGAGCTCTTTCCCTTTCTATCTCTCGTAGCTTCAGTTGGAATATAAAAGATGCAGTATTTCACAGATAACCAGAGAGAATTAATGAACTAACATAGAATATGACCAAAACAAAGATTAAGTCCCACATTTGGTCCCTGAGGGCCGGCAGGAGAAGAATTTATGGATCTCTCTAGTCAGATAGGTGGAAGGCAGAGTGGCTGTCCCGGAGTCCCGCTCTCCACCCGCCCTGATCTTTCCTACTTCAATAAACCACAAAGTCTGTTGTGAGAGAAGACGAGTACATGGTTCACTCTGACGATGGCCAAGGACAGAGCCAAAAAGTCTGTTTGTTTAGGAGAAGTCTTATTTCCCATCCCTGCCTTACTCATATGGGCCTGAATAAATCTTAATCTAAGTTCTTATCTCAGGAAAAGCAAAGGGTGGCCGTGGAAGCCCTCTAAATAACAGGTGCGGGCAGAATGAAGAGGGCTGGGGAGGGCGGAGGCCTGTGGAAAATACGTTCAGGAGGCCAAGAAGTCCATAAGGCTGATGAGCTCGAGAAAGGAGCAGGTGGAGGGGAGGGGGGCCAATGCCTAAGGGTGCAGACTGGAACCTACTAGGATAGGGTGATAGGGAGACCAGATGGGCTGGCATTCGGTCAAAGCAGATGGTGGGCTTTTATTTTTAAAAGGATTTGTAAATCCTAGGAACAAGGAACATAAGGGTACTGGGGCCTTTAATCCCATTAGTAGAGGACAAAAGTGTTCTCTTTAAAAATGTAAACCTACCAATTATAGAATTTCTAGTATCAAAACTTCGGGACAGAGTACCAGCTTGTGAAATACCAAGAAATCTCTGGATTCTTCATTGAGGGGAAGAGAGAAACTGCAGAAATAGGGGATTCGTTGTGAGTTACTAAAAAGCCTACTCCTCAAGAATTTGAAGTGTACATTTGGAAGCAGGCAAAATGTCATATATTTATACAAAAGAGCCTTGCTTACATATGGAGTTGGAAGAAGAGCTCACTGTAATTAGGGACCGATTTGTTATTTAGTAAATTTTGAGTGTATAATGAGACAAATTAAAAAATGGAAGCACCTGTCGCTTTCTAAAAAGTTGTCCCCCTGGGTCCCCTTCCCTAGTCCCCTGGCTCTTCTCCCAGTTGCACAGAAGTCCTGTTCTTCAGCCCTTCTCTCAGCCATTCCCTGGGGGTCCAGAATTACTTCCGTAAGCCTTCTCCTCAAGGACCCCTCAAGGAGCCCAGACTTGGGAGCATAGCACGGAGTCATCACTGGACGTTTGTGGTGGCACAGGTGTGAAGGCGGCCCAAGCACAGGCAGGGCCACACAGTCCCTTGGTAGATGGAGCAGAGGGCTGTGTCTCCAGTCCATGAGGAATCTACCATCTTTGCCCCTGTGTGATACCTGACCCTGCCGAGCGGGAAAGCCTAATTTCATCTAAAGAATTTCAAAGAAATGTTGAATATTAAGAGAAAGTTTTAAGTAGTGCGATTCATTGTTAAATCATTTTTTTGTTTAGACTATCCATATGCCCAATAAGTAAATATCAACATCTGTTTTTTTTTTTTAATTTTTTTTTTTTATGTTTTATTTATTTCTAGGAGAGAGAGACAGCGTGAGCAGGGGAGGGTCAGAGAGAGAGGGAGTCACAGACCGAAAGAGGCTCCAGGCTCTGAGCTGGCAGTCAGCACAGAGCCCGACGCGGGGCTCGAACCCACGAACCGCGAGATCATGACCTAAGCGAAAGTCGGACGCTTAACCGACTAAGCCACCCAGGCGCCCCTCAACATCTGTTTTTGATGCTATCTCAAAATTATTCTTTCTTTAATTATTTCTTCCCTTAATTATTCCTGAAAAGTGTAGCAGTCATCTCGTGTTTGGAAGTGGAATACAGTTGCTTTCCAACACCACTGAGCGGGTATTTTTGTTTGTTTTGATCTGTAAAGGTATGGAAACCTGACAAGCCCAAACTGTGAAGAGGATGAAAGCCCCACTTCATCAGAGTCCAAGACGGTGATCCGGAAGTAAGTAAGCCTTCCCTCTGCATGACAAGCTCTCAGACAAAATTCTTATCTTAAAAGAATGTAATTCAGTAATTTTTTTTTATTCCTTTCTAATGTTGTCATGGTTTTTCCCATAATGCCTAAAATCATAGAGTTATATTTTGACTCTCCAGTGATAATTCACTTATTCATCCAATAAAAATGTATCAGGCATCTGCCATATGCCAGGCGCTGTGCTAAGGGAAACAGCTATGAACAAAATAAATCAGTCTCAGCTCTAATGAAGTTGGTATTTTAGTAGAGGGACAAGGAATGCACACAAAAAAGAGGGTAAAGGGGCTGGATCCTGATGGAGAGTTTGATTCAGAGAGGATGCCAGGAGTGAGCCTTCTGATCTGGTGGCATTGGAGCAGAATGTATCCTGAATGGGGTACAGGCGAGGCTTTGTGAATATCCAAGCAGGGAAAATATGGAAAAAGCTCCAAGGCAGGAGCAGTGTTGGAGAAGCGGGAGGGAGATGAATGAGGCGAGAGCAGATGCCAAAGGATGAGATCTATAAGGTAGCGGGGGCCCCACAGCACATGGGGACTTGGAGGCCCCGGGGAGGATGTTCAGTTTTATTCTAAGGAACGTAAAAAGAATTTAGAAGGTTTTGGGAAGAGCAGTGCTATGGCCTGATTTATATTTCTAAAGGCTTGCGTGGATCTGTGTGGAAAATAGACTCTGGCAGTGGGATGGGGCAAGAGTGGCAGCAAGGAGCCTGGTTTGGGTGCTTACAAGGGTCCAGGTAAGGGGTGCTGGTAGCGTGGACTTGAGGAGGAGGAAGAGGGTGGTGGTGGTGGTGGTGGTAAGTAGTAGTAGTGGTGGTGGTGGTGGTGGTAGTCGTAGTAGTGGTGGTGGTGGTGGTGGTGGTCATAGTAGTAGTGGTGGTGGTGGTGGTAAGTAGTAGTGGTGGTGGTGGTGGTGGTGGTAAGTAGTACTAGTAGTAGTGGTGGTGGTAGTAGTATGGTGGTGGTTACAAGTAATAGTACTAGTACTAGTAGTAGTAGTGGTGGTGCTAAGTAGTAGTAGTTGTGGTGGTGGTGGTGGTAAGTAGTAGTGGTGGTGGTGGTAAGTAGTACTAGTGGTAGTGGTGGTGGTAGTAGTGTGGTGGTTACAAGTAGTAGTACTAGTACTAGTAGTGGTAGTGGTGATGGTGGTAAGTAGTAGTAGTAGTAGTAGTAGTAGTAGTATGGTGGTCGGGGTGGTAAGTAGTAGTAGTAGTAGTATAATAGTAGTAGTATGGTGGTCGGGGTGGTAAGTATTACTAGTAGTGGTGGTGGTGCTAAGTAGTAGTAGTTGTAGTGGTGGTGGTGGTGGTGGTGGTGGTAGTGCTATTAGTAGTGATAGTAGTAGTCGTAAAAGTAGGAGTAACTTGTAAAAGGAGCAGCCTCTTCAGAGATCTTGAAGGTGTTGCTGGCAGGTTGTACTGATGAAGTGGACAGGGCGTATGAGAGGAAAAGAGGCCAGGACACCTCCAAGGGTTGTGGTGTGAGCAACTGATAGAATAGAACCTTGGCTTTATGAGAGAAGAAAGACTGGTGAAGAGGAGCGGATATGGTGGGGAGCACGTGTCAGTGATTTCGTCTGAGACATACTAATTTTGAGATAGTTGGATGAGTCTAGATAGTTAGAAGTCGGGACTGGAGGTGTAAATCTGGGCATCCTGAGTTTATACATGGCGTTTAAGGCTAGAGGGCTAGGTGTGCCCTCCTGGGAACAAAGGTAGATAGAGAAGAGGAAGGTCCCAAAACTGAGCCTTGGTTCTTTCCTGTATTTAGAGTTAGGAAATTAGAGGGTCCAGCAAGCGGAGACTGGAACACAGCAGCCAGTGGGGAAGAGAAGAAAGAAGAAATTGTGTCCAGAAGATGAGCAAAGAAGGAGTTTGGGGGGCGAGGGGCTGTGACCAGTTGTATCTAATACTGCTCAGACATCAAGTGAGAGGAGCCTGGGAAGCAACTATGGTGTTTGCAGCATGTTGGTCTTTGGTCCTCGTGACAAGTGCAGCTTTGGTGGATGGAGGTGGGGGTCAAGAGAAGACAGAAATTTGGAGGAGTTTTGCTGTAAGAGAAGAGAAAGGGGCAGGAGGATGATCTGGAGCCAAGGAGAGTTTTTTTCAGTGTGTGTGCGTGTGTGTGTGTGTGTGTGTGTGTGTGTGTGTGTGTGTGTGTTAGAACCAGGTGATAGTTGATCTGATGAGAATAATGTGGGAGGCACTGAAGAAAACGGCAGGGGTGCAGGCCAGTGATGTTCTTGAGCGGATGAGGCATATGCCAGGGCGCTTGAAGGTACTCTCGGTAAATATTCATCTTGGGGCCAAAAGTCCAGGCAGCTAATGCTATGGACTATTTTATCTCCTCAGAGGATCGACTGATGGCATCCTTTCTTGAGAAGCCGAGGATGTGAAGGCAGAAAATTGAGCATCTTTTTAAGTCCTGAGTTAGGGAGTTTTATTATTTTATTGGATGGGCCATAACCTTCCAGAAAACCAGTGTAGATTTTTGATTGTCAAATGCAAGATGTGGTGAGCAGAACACAGACTTTTATTCTGAGGGGTTTGGAGAGGCTTCTTGGAGGAGGTGACATTTGAAGGAGGCCTTGAAGGAGGGCGAAGATGGTGGTGGTAGGACCATCCACGCAGAGGGAACGGTGGAACCCAATCAGGGACACGCAGTGTGTGTGACATTTTGGAAACAGCGCAGAGCCGGTGTGGCTGCATCGTGGTGGTATCTGTACCAGGATGAGGGGAGTTGTAGAGCCGAACTCTCATGGAGGGGGTTAGTTCTCCCAAAAGAACAGGACCATCCCTGGTAAGCAGTAGACAGCCCTGAGAGGCTTTTGTAGGAGGGAAGCATTATAATCAAATAGGTGATCTGGGGCATGGCTTAGACTTACGGACTTCTTACTTAGAGTGAGGTCCGTGCGCCAGCAGCATTGGCGCCGCCTGGGAGCTTGCTAGAAATGCAGGATCTCTGGACCTGGATTAGACTCTGCATTTCAGGAAGATCCTTGAGTGATTCTGCACATTTTAAGGTTTGAAACTCATAGTATTAGCAGTTTCGTTGTACAGTCGTTTGTCCACGAAAACTTAATTGAAATAGTAATTTTTTAAAAAGCATTTTAAATTTAAAAAGTTTTGATGTTTATTTATTTATTTTTTTTTTGAGAGAGTGAGAGAGAGAGCATGAGCAGAGGAGAGTCAGAGAGAAAGGGAGACACAGAATCCGAAGCAGGCCCCAGGCTCTGAGCTGTCAGCATAGAGCCCGATGTGGGCTCAAACCCACAAACCGCAAGATCATGACCTGAGCCGAAGTCAGACGCTTAACTGACTGAGTCACCCAGGTGCCCCAGAAAAGAACCTTTTTATATATGAATATTTTAAAGCCTAAACAAAAGGAGAGAATTGAGTGCCAACTTGTCAAGTGTAACCTCCACCTGTGACCACATTCAGAAATAATTATGTTTTTATCCACAAATTGTGGAATTGAGTCAGATCTGGAGCTATATCATTCAGCTAGCTGCCAAGGAGAATAACAGTCTGAAAAATAGCCAGAGCTTTTGTGTTTCCCAGGGAGTGTTTTGAGATTAAATAGATTTCTGGGAAGTAGCAAGTTAAAGAAAATTGGTTTGTACCCTAGATGTGAAGAATCATGCTCATTATTTTAAAGTCCTATTATAAAACTTCATTGAACTTCATTGTACGCCAGGAACAGCGATGTGGGTGAAACTCCAGGATAAGCTGTTTTAAAGGGCTTTGCAGTTTTAAGCATATGAGTCCTTAACAAAGAGCTTCACATAGAACTCCCCTGAGGGGTCCATCATCTGGGGACAATGGTCCTTTCCTAAAGCCTCACAATGAATTGGTAGAAAGTTCTTGACCCTTTTCCTCAGACTGACTTGCCTTAAAAAAAAATTATGCCTGATGAAAATATGCTACTTTATCTTATAATGGACCACTCTGTCCTCCAAATGCTGGAATGCTAAAATCCCTTCTCTCTGCTGACCTCTTCCTTCCTTCCTTCCATTTTCCTGCTTTCTGGCTGCTTCCTCTCCCCCACCCCACTTCTCCTTGTATTATTTTTCATCTCATTTCACCATTATCTTTTTGCTTTTTCTAAAGTTACCCTTCTCCTAATCATTTCTGTGGCTGGAGAGGGTCCTTGCTCTGTCTTTCTGAGAGAAAATCGGGGAAGCATCTCCTTCATTCCATGTGTAGCATACTGAAAGTTCCTCCATCATCACAGAGCTCTGCATCTGTCACGTTAGCAACGGCTGAAGGCGTCCTAATGGCTGATGCATGTGTAGGACATCTGGCTCTACAGCAGTTCTCAGTGGGCTGGTTTTGTCCCCAGAGGATATCTGGCAATATCTGGAGACGTTTTTGTTGTCTTAACTTGATGGTGGGTGGAGGATGCTATTGGCATTGGGTGGGTAGAGGCCAGGATTGCTGTGAAACATTCTATGGTGTGCCAGACAGCACCGCCCTCCAACAAAGAATGACCTGCCTCGAAGTGTCGATATTGCGTAGGTAGGAAACGCTGCTCTGTGGCCATGAGGCTGCAGTCCCGAAGTGAAAACCCTCTTTAGTTATGGGAATCTAGATCTGTGTGAAAATAGGACCATGCTTATTTGGGGATTTCTCTATTCACGTCCTGCCTTGTACTGAGGAGAATCAAATGCCGAGGTGGCCCAGGAGCCAGCGTCATAGGAGGTGAAGGGCCTTGAGTGAGAAGCCTGGAGAATATAGATTTGAGTCTCTCTTCAATTGCTGTCATTTCCCTGCTAGATGACCTAGTCACCTCACCTCCCTCGGTTCTGCTTCTTGACCTGAAAAGTGAAGTGCTCGGGATGTATGCTCTCTGAGGCCCTTTCGAGTATAATGTCATGGAGGACAAAACTTAGTTAGCTTTCTCTTCATCTTTCAAAAATGAAAATGAGTATCAGAAACAGAGATATGACCCCAATTTTATAATGAGCTTTTG